ATTGGGTGTGGGCTATGGGCAAAACATTGATTGAGCAATCAGTGCCGGGCAAAAGAAGGTAGCGACATTGCCCTTTTGTTTGGAGGGTGAAGTAAGATTTTCAGGGCAACTTTACATGGTGACTGCCTCCTTGGAAGACCACTGGTCTGAGATATTGTGGATTGATGATGATGCAGCCTGTGGCATGCACGTACTGTAGGATTGCCGTCCATTTGTGCTTGGAGACCAGCGCTTCATTACAGGGTGGGAAGTGGGAAGCAATGTGGCAAACCGTGCTGTGGTACTAGGTGGAAAGCGAGAAGCTACACGCCTATGTGACCAGTCTTGCTCTGAGCTTGATGGGCTTGCCTGAGTCTGGTCTTTCACCCAGTGGTCCTGGGAAAGACTGGTCACTGGGACCCTTTCATCCTCGTGTTCTAGCTTATGAAAATGGACTGGCCTTGTACAACTTTTCTCCAGAAGAATGAAGTAGGTAAGGAAGAAATTCTTTATGATAAGGGTGGTGAGGCACTGGAACAAGTTTCCCAGTGAAGTTGTGGATGCCCCATCATTGGAAATCTTCAAGCTCAGGTTGGATGGGGCTTTGAGCAACCTGATCTAGTGGAAGGTGTCCCTGCCCACAGCAGGAGGGTTGGACTAGGTGATCTATAAAGGTTCCTTCCGACCTTAACCATTCTGTGATTCTAAGAGCTGGTCTCTATTTGGCTGCTGTGGATCTCAGCAGGTACTGGTGCCAAGATGTAGATTTTCTGGCTGGGATGGACTTAATTGTCTTCACAGAAGGCTGTATGGGGTTGTGTTTTGGTTTTGTGACTAACAGCGTTGCTAACACACCAGTGTTTTGGCTATTGCTGAGCAGTGTTTGCGAGCGTCAAGGTCTTCTTTTTGTCCTTCTTTCTCCCCCATGCCCCTCACAAGTGAGTAGGCTTGGGGTGGGCGAGAGGTTGGGAGCGGACACAGCCAGGACAGCTGACCCCGACTGACCAAGGGGATATTCCACACCATATGGCACTGGGCCCAGCACTAAGAGCTCAGGGAAAGAATGAGAAAGGGGGAACGTTCGTGGTTGTGGCATTTGTCTTCCCAAGTGACTGTTAGTGTGCTGAGGCTCCACCGGCCAGTGGGAAGTAGTGAATAATTTCCTTATTTTGCTTTGCGTGTGCAGCTTCATTTTACCTATTAAACAGTCATTACCTCGGGCCATGAGTTTTCTCGCTTTTACCCTTCCAATTCTTTCCCCCATCCTGCTGGGGTGGGGGTGAGCAAGCAGGTGGGTCAACCCGCCACGTTTTTCTAGCTAGCCTGAGTCCTAGTGGGAATGCTGCTGAGTTCTGTAATCAGGAAGAACCTCCAAAAGCTGGGGCTAAAGCCCCCAGTGTCCCCCTGGGCAGGTTAAGAAGCGGGCTGAACATAAACCAGTGGTGAAGATGGGACCCTAGGTGATTTTGCATCATGTGGCAGACTGCCAAAGCCCTCGAGCGCTGTAGAGGTAAGGTTAGCTTCAGAGGCAGGCCTGCTCCCGGAGGCTGGTACACCAAGGTGAGCCTGGGGCCAGCAGTGATCTCCAGGCAGGAAGACCAGGTACAGAACTGTCAGTGCTACTGCACTGCAGCTGCCTTGCCTGTGAGGCAGGACACGTCTGCTGGGAATATGAGCTTCCCCGCGGGCAACGGAGAGGATCTGTGGAGTAGAGAAACTGTTGCTGTTACTCGGACACCGCCTGAATCCCAAACCATCGTCTCCTTGTTCCAGCAGGTGTCGTTGTGCAGTGTAAACCTTCCCTAACCAAAGCCAAAGGGAGAGAGGGAAGAGCCCACAAACTCAAAAACAGTAAGCCATGTCCCAAGAGATGGAGATGATTATCTTAAAAGCACTGTGAGCAGTAAGAGCTCTGACTCCGCCTCAAAAGGCAGCTGAAAGGAATGGGAGGGGGGGCCATCTACCACAGCTTTCCTCAGAGCCACGTTCACCTTACGAGCAGGGTGAAAATCGCCAAGGATGAAAATCATGCCAGCATTGCTGTGCACAGACACACCCCCCGGGGCCCAGATACACTTGAACATTCCTGTGAGAAAGCAAGCAGGGGTCTCAGCCGTGGTCTTTTCTGGGAACCGGTGTGCCTGCCCAGCAACGCCTGTGCGTAGCGTCTGTCTGCTACAGGTTTCCGGTGCCACACAGCCCAAACGCAGTTTGCAGCCCTGCGCTGCGTGAGCAGAAGCCGCTATCCTGCCGGGAGGATTGGCTAAGGCACGCTTCGCAGTAACCTCTGACGCTGGCTGAGAGAAATCAAAGTGGGACACGGTTGTGTAGAAAGAGACGGCGGAGCTGCGGAGCTGCCAAGCCTCACAGTGACAAAACGTTCGTGTCAGGTGGGACAGGAAGGGGACTGGTGTGTAGAGGGGGGTGTAAAGTAGATTCAGGACACAAATAAAGGTAATCTAGGTAAAGATTAAAAAAAATCTAGGCAAACTAGCTACCAGGGTCAAATACACTATTTTTTACTGGTTTTATTTTTTTCTAGGGTTTTAAACTATTTGGAAAACTCTATAAATTGTAGTAGTATAGCATTTAAGCTGTGGCAGCTCCAGAAACCTGATTACAGACAGCTGGTTTGGTTTTGCCAAGGACTGAAATGGTACAGGACTGTGTCTTGTACTGAAGCAATCTTGCTACGCAAAGTTTTCAGTGTGTACACAGGGAACAAGAAACCCTTCCGTTCCCTGAACGTTCTAATAGGTATGAATGACTTCTCCTTCTGGTATAAAACCTGTAGTTCCGAGGCGACCGAGGAAGAATGCAGAGTGCATTGTGTGTTCGATTACAGACTGACGGACACTACCAACACCAAACATGGGCACCGGGCTACAGGCGAGGAAGAGAGGGGGTGGGGGAAAATTCTGGATGTTCCCAGGGCACATAGCCGCGTACTGACTAAAAACATAACCATGTTGCTGTGAACATGCACCGTGATATTAATAGCTCTGGTACGAATTTCAGATAGTTCTTGATGGGGTACCGAAGGGTTCTTTTACAGCTTAACCTGTCTCACAGGAACATACGGTACTGTGTATTTTGACAACATTACATTTTCCTGGTGAAAGCAGTGTTTAAAATTCAGGGAGCAAGTTAACAGATTAAAGAGCACCTCTGAAACTTTGGTTTTGGTGGACATGTGAGAAACTGCTACAAGTGTAATTCAACAGTTTTCTGGAAGATAGGAGAGATGCCCAAATACACCCAGCATGAAGTATCACTAATGCTGCCACGATTGAGCCCCCCCCCCCCCCCCAACTTGGGCAAACTGTGTAATTCAGCTTCGAGGTGAATAAATGAGTATGGGCTTCTGCAAACAAGGCTGAGAAGTTCTGGTGTCACAGCCCTGCTGCGTTTACGCAGTTGCATTTCCCCTAACTCTCTTGTTTTGTGTTGTCTACTAAGGTGCGTCATTAAGTCATGAAGTAAGACTTAAAACACCACAATTAAGCCAATGTGTTTTGCATTGTTTTACTGAAACTGAAAAAGTAATTCTGTACCAAAATGTACACAATTTAGTAATAATACAAAATGTTAATTCTGCAAGACAGAATGTCAGTTAAATCCACCAAGATGAACACTGAACCACCATTTATTGCCAGAACAGTGTTACTTTAAATAAGATCACCAAATGAACATAGAAACAAAGTAGTTCCAACTTTCTTTAAATAAAATGGTAGATACTAGCAACAATACTGCAGGAAGATAAATATTCATGATATTTACATGCTATCATAACATATCTAGCATGTAGTATGTCTTCATGCTTGCACATCAGCGTTATGAGCTCATTACAATTATATTAATGTGTTGATGTACTACAAAACAGCCCATCGTGATTTATATCAAATTTGCACATTAGAAGAGCACCTCTGCTAGTCACCCCTTGAGGAATGCTGCTGCGTTCCTGGCAAGAAACCCAGTCCAATCCACCGATTCCCCCCCCCAGGAAAAACACAAACAAAAACACCCAAACCAAACCAACCCATCAAACACATTAACAATTTTGCTCCTCCGATTAACTAGGCAAGGTGATGCATTTAGCAATATTCCCAAAGGTGAACCAAATCAGAATACACCTGGGTTTTCTGTATTACGCTAAGAACACCTGAGACTGCTTCACTGGTCCAAGTACAGTATTTTAATACAAAAACTGCTTGTGGCATTAACGTGTGATTTCACTGAATTCCCTTAATTAGTACTCTTCATTGAAAAAAAGGTAAGATGACTTCTTAAAATAAATATTGCCCCCTCAAAAAGAAAGTTTAAAAGGAATTAAAACATCAAAAAAACCTGGTGTTGAAGAACAATGTGATTTTCTGGCTTTGTTTTAGCTCAGCTTAAGCAATGGATAAACAGCTGTTCCTGGGGAAGAAGTGTCAAACACTTAAAATAATTGGGAATATACAAACACACCATACTTTAAAAGACACATCTTTTAAAAGAAGTGTAAACATCTGTTCTTGACTCCTGTTGTTTGAATGCACTCTATCAAAAAAAGTTTGAGAAACTGCATTTGCTTAAATTGCTAGCCTGCCTCACACGTAACTGGCTTTGGAGTGACTAGTTTCAAAATCTATTTTTTTCTACCTGAACAAAATAACAAAACAGTTGAAGACACCGTTTTTCCCTACTTCAGTACAGATTATATTTAACAGATCAGAACTTTATAGGTCACAAGTCTGCTTTAAGGAATAACCTAAATTATGGGGTTAGAACATTGAATGCTGCTTAGTTGAAGCAGCAAGCAAATTAGCTACTATCTATACACAGAGGTTTCTATAAAACTTCTATGATTCAGTAAAATTGTCTCATAGCCTAAGATCTAAGTTTTATGTGTGAGCAACAATAAAATTGGGAGCTCGTGGAACTTGTTGTTACTGTAAAAAACGTGCTTGTCTAACCAGAAAATAAAGATGGCAGAGACCAGTGCATTCAAGCCAAGCTTAGACCAATTTTTTTTTTTCCATGTACAAAGTACATAACATCACTTTTCAGCTTAACAGTTACCAGGAGCTCACTAGCCAAAATAATCTCAACCTGTTAACAACATAAAAGACTGACCCTTTAGAAAATAATGTGTAAGAATAAGAATTCCAAAGCCATGTTCAAGATGCCTGACCAGACTTCTTTCATGAAGTCATCTCTAACCACTGAAGAAAGTCAAAGGCATAAGTAGTCTCACACAAGTCCGCTCATCTCTCAGTTTATCATCTTACATGACATCATTGAGTTGAAGATGACTTTTATTCTAAACTTCACAGTTTGGTTCTTTTTTCCCCCTGCACACCTGGTCAGTTGCTAGAATTGCTTCATTTCAAAGCCATTCTTAGTGTTCAAGCTGCCTTCTTAGTGCATGTTCCTTGAAGATCTTGTAGATTTATTTTCGACCTAATAAAAACAGTAAGATAACTACATTAGATATTATAAATGTTACATTGCTATTATATATTGTAGTTATGAATGTAATTATTACTTAATCTTGTGTACTTGGAAGAAGGGCAAAACAGCAGAGAAAGACAAGAGTTTTTCCATTTCTTACCTGTTGTGGATCATGTGGCTTTTGACTAGATGCCCAGCTGCAAGAGCTGCCATTAATGACAATTCCCCTGCCATCACTGTAGCACAAACAATTTTAGCAAGCTGACGGGCATTTTCACCAGGGTTCTCTTGGCTTGCACCTTGAACCCCTAACATCTAGAGAGAAAAATATGCATTATTATGCTATAAAATTTCAGTAAATTTATGCTAAACCTAGTATTAAAGTAAGCCTTTCCAAATTATATCCAGTCAACTAGCTTTAATTCTCTTTAAGTATGTTAAGCTTCAGTAACGAGTTACTTGAAAAAAGTTCATTAGACAATTGTAAAATTTTCACATCAAACCCACCAAGTTTCAAGAGGCCCCATTCCCACAACATTACCCAAACACAGTATACACAGCATGAAAGCAGGCTTTGCTTTAAGAAGCCAAGTTGCTTTAAATTTTCTGATTTATACCTGCAAACAGGCCTGCTGTGGGAGCAAGTTGGTGCCTCCGCCAACAGTTCCTATTTCTATAGAAGGCATTGTGCAGCTGATGTACAGGTCTTCATTGGTGGAACCAGTGCGCTCCATCAAAGTGATACAATTAGAGCTGCCCACGTTCTGTGCAGCATCCTTCAGATCAGGAAGGAGAAACAAAACACAAAACCAAAACGCTCAGCTAAGTTTTTGATAAACAGTTACTGAAATAAAGAAAATTTGCAGTGGTGTAAAACAAACTTACCTGGCCACAGGCAATGTAGATAGCCGTCACAATGTTTGCTGCATGTGCATTGTAGCCACCTATGCTACCAGCCATCGCAGAACCCACCAAATTTTTGTTTATATTGACTTCAACTATATCTTCTGTAGTTGTCTTCAATACCTAGACAAAGCGACATGCTTTTACTACACCATTCCTTAGGCAGGAGTAGGAACACTCTATTTATGGTTAGTAAGTCTTCCCCCCTTGTTTGCTTCCATATGGAATTTCACTCCATTGTTGTCCTAGATGCCTACTTTTATTTTTGTTCAAAAGGAGCCCTTGCAGATACAGGCTGCACTGCCCAAGTAACACAGAAAAGTCAGTACAAAGGGTTTGGACTTGCACAGGCCTGTAAGAAAAGCTCACCAGCTGCCTTCTGCGCTTCAAATTCTCATTTGTCTTCAGAATGAAGCAAAATCAACTTGGCAGAAACATCCCATTAATTCACCTTGACATGACAGCAACATTCCTCCCAAATTGGTCCAGACACTAAACCCTCCCCAGTTTTTGCCCTGCATAAGAGTATGGAGCTAAACTGAGGAATTCAAACACAACACTGTGCTGCATTGGTAAATAAACATTGTGCACAGTAATCTCAAATTAAGTGGCATATTTATACTATACTGACTGTATTTTCAAACTTCCAAAGAGGAGATTTACACTGAATCTAGTATAAAAATGATCAAAGAGAACAAAAAAAAAAAAACCAATGCTGCTGTGAGCAAAATTTAAGATATTCCAGTGTAGCAGGAATAACAACTAACAGATCCACACAAAGTCTACAACACTGACAAAAAATATGAAGTTTATGTATTAGAGGTCAATGTAAGTAAATGTAGTCATGTACATAGGTGGGAGTTGGGGAAAAGTATCTCAAATTTACCTAAAAGCTATCCATGCCCATTACCAAAGGACTGGCTCCCCACTACTACTCTGGAATGAAATCTTTCGGTTTTAATAGATACTGCCACTGAATCAGCTGTAAAAATGCAACGAATTTGAAAATTAGGAAACTACTAGGAAGCAAACACAAAAGATGTAAGTTACGTCAGCCTATAAATCCAGCCTGCACACACACTTTGAATACTGTGTCCAACTCTGTACCCAAAATTTTAGAACTGAAAAAGATCTGGAGACAAGGACGTTCACAGTCATGCTAAAATAGTCTTTTTACTCATTCTTTACAGAGAAAACAGCACTTTTCAGTCTGAATATGAGAATAGCTAGGAAGGTGGAAGGGCTGTGTTAGAGCTATAAAATCTTGATTGGTAGAGTGAAGATAAAAGTTTTTAGTATCTCTGCAAGTACAAAACTAGGGCACCATCAAATGGAATTGACAGCAAGGAGATCGTTCTTGCACAAAGTGTAGCTGCACTGTGGAATTCTGCCCAGAATACGAGTGCCGGAAGTTTACTTAGTTTCACAAAAGGGACTGGACAAATTACTGGGGGAAAACAAACAAACAAAAAAATCCATCAAATAAGAAAAGCACCAATTCAGAAAGTCTTGAACAGGCTGATGGAAGACTACGCTGAGGATGGTGTAGTAAATACCTCCCTGGATATTATTGTCTCTCATGGCCAGCGTTGGCAACCAGATAAGAGGCAATGGATTTGGTCTGAATCACATAGGCAGTCTTCTCAGTTCAGGTGGAAGAGAATCTAAGATAGCTCTTAAGATGCAGGACAAGTCTGCCAGGGGCTGGGACTGGCACTGGTTATAAAGGTTACCCTTGTCATGCAAGATGCTAAGGCAGTTTTAGAATTACGTGAAGCACCTGATGATCTGTTTTCGTTGTAGCAGGAGGCATATAAACTTTTAAGAGAATGCCAGGTTTGTGCAAGACGACAAGTGCAATGATCAAAATGACTGGGTTTAATGAGAGGCAAAACCCCGTGTGTAAAAATCTGTCAAACTGTGGCATAAGTTTTCAAAGGTAAAAAGTGAAAACCCTAATGCTTTCAATAGAAATGCATCATTAAATAGATGCACATTATGTCAGAAGTGACAACAAAAGGAAAAAATACCTGATCCTACAGCAGTGTGCAAAAATACATGTAGGAATTATCCTCCCTACCTGGAACAACTTACAGTTAATATTTATGATGTAAGACAGGTATCAGTTTTGTAAAACATGCATTCTTATGAATGAGCAAAAGAAAGCAGACACTTACTTCTCTAACAACTTTGGCTGGAATGACTGCTTCGCAGACAACAGACTTCCCCCTTCCTTCTATCCAGTTTATAGCAGCAGGTTTTTTGTCTGTGCAATAGTTACCGCTAATAGCTATAACCTGGAGATCAGGAAACTCTTCATTCAACCTTGCCAGTGCTTTTTCAGTACCCTGTTAGAAGAGTGTATCATCATGGTTGCGAAACAAGCTACTCAAGGACAGCGGAACAGCAAGATTAGATTAAGTCTATCAGATCATCAATTACAGCTGAAGAAAAGAATGTAATTTCAGGACGGAATCTGAATCAGGAAAAAAAACCCAACCCAATTATCACTATCTTTTTTCTAACCACTTGGGGAATTATATGGAGAATAACTGGTTCTTCCCAGTACGTATGGACTCTCTGGATACATTCTAGGTGAACGGGCATATGCTTACCATACTGAAGAGACAACATGAACCAAGTCAAACACTACAGGCATAAAATGAATTCATTTTGGATGTAGTGGAAAGAGCTTCTCCACACTAGGAAATCAGACAAGAGGTCTGCTGTGTTTAGTATCTGTCTATGACCAGACCCACTTATGTAACAGTTCTGATAGACTTAAATTTTATATGGAATAGGCACTCAGTGTTAATCTCAAATAGCACAAGGCATCCCCACCCAGTCTATGGGTCATGTCTCGGGTTCTTCCACATTTGTGTAAAAATACAAACAAACCAACCAACCTAGGGAACACCCCTCTGCTTCTATTCTCCAGATTCCTAATGCTTTATTTACAAGGAAGCGATAAACACAGTAACTGATTAATTACTGCTGGATAAAGTCTTTGGCCCAAAGCAACAGAGCGACCAGCTTAGCTTCCATACTATCAAGAATACTTTAAATAATAATAAAAGAAATTCAAATACAAAGTTACTTTTTTCTTTCACTGTTCTCATCCTATTCTTGTTTACACTTGACAAGGTCAAACACTTATTACTTTATAGCACTGCAAACAGCCCTGCCTCTTACCTTCCTGTCTTCACGTGCCACATAGTCACAGATTGGTAGGCTATAATTTACTTGTTTTTAAAAGAAATACACGTGTATTAAAGAGACTTAAGGAGACTGGTCCTTACTTTTGAAATCATATTCATTCCCATTGCATCCCCTGTTCCAGAATGAAAACGGATATAAAGGTTACGACCAGCCAAACTGATGAGAAATTTCTGTAGGCGGGCAAACCTGCAAGAAAATTTAACCATTACTAACAATTCTCAAGGGAAAATATTAAATTAGGTTTAAGTGGCAAAATGACAGTAAATCATTGCAGATAGCGCTGTTAACTACACTGTGTTCCTCCAGTGCAGGAAAAAACCTTCAGCTACCATGCACATAGTTCTCTCGAATAAAGACTTTACAAACATGCACTGTAAAAAGTCTTCACTGCCTTTTTATGTTTTCTGTCCCTGGACTTCATGAAATAAAATATCCTGAAGTGCTAACATTAATTTAATTCATTTGTATTCCTTAAAACATCTGACTACCAGATATAAACTAAAAATGAAGCCTTTGGAAATTCTTATGTCAGTTTTACAGCAAGGCAAAACCCATGCTATCTTAACAACAGTGCAAGCTCCACAAGTAAAACAGAAACCAGGTAATGCTGCATTTAAACAGCGGTGCGAGTTGATTCTGGCCGAAACACACATGTCCTTGGCTGACACTTGTAAGATTGGCAAGAAACAAACTGATAAGGAAATCTCTCTCTGAATCTTCCTAAAGAAAGCAGGCAATCATAAGTCTTAGAAAAAAACTCTAGGGCTTGAAATAGAGTTTCTGTTGTTAATACTGTTTTACATGTTTTAGCATTTTGGTTCTGGCATCAGTTTATCCTGTATTCTTTGGAACCTCACAAATTAATTATTAACTTCAGTAATATCACCTGAAAGGCTAGATTCCAAACTTTGAATTACTTTTTCCATAGTAACTGCTGAAAATCCAAATAAGCTTTTATGTTTGTTTTTAAATGCTTAGACAAAACAAATAACGTATTAAGTAATATGCAATGTGAATGTATTTGTTGCTAAGATACAGCTGTTTACCACTTACCATTGGAAAGCATTTATTACTAGCTTTGGTACACAGCCAGAGTGACTTTTATTCTCTTAGATTCACACTATGTGGGATAGCCAAAATAAAGATGTAATTTCCTGTATTGCAGTACGCCAAAAAAACCCCAACACAATTAGGAGCTTTTTACCATCCATAAAAGTTTTATGTCAGGAAATAAGGCTGGAATAGCTATTGTACTAACCTACTTGTGCTGTCAAAAGCTTCCTTCATTATTTTAAAGCCTTCGGGGCTTTCAAGCCAAACTTTCACTTCTGCAGCCCGACAAGCAGTGGGCAGCCTTACAACAGGTCCTCGAGTCATCCCATCTGCCAGAATGCGGCTACTGGCTCCTCCACCAAGCTAAAAACCAAAGCAGAAGGGAAACAAAGAAAGATTACTGGAAGTGAATTTTCACTTTTAAGAAGTCAAAGACATGCCTTACATCACCCCAAATATGTCTTGTAACATAGAAAGTTTTTCAAGTTAGACAAATATACTTACGCATATTGCTCTACATCCTCTGTTTGTGCTTGCTACAAGGCATCCCTCTGTTGTTGCCATTGGCACCTGAAACTCTTTGTTATCCAAAAGTAGCGGTCCTGCTACGCCTACAGGAATAGGCATATATCCAATCACATTTTCACAGCAAGCTCCCATAACCTTCCAAAAATAACACAAAAGGTATCATTAAGGTTACACTACAGTGGTATGGTACAGCGTGTTACATACTATGCCTGTGGCTACAACAAGGCATCTTAGCAAAAAACCCTACCCATAAAGCAACCAATTCCCACCTCAAAAAATCTAACAGCTACAGCTATCAACAGCTAATACTGTTCAAATCTAGTATTTGGCAGACACATTTAATCTCATTATGTCTTAATCACTATTAAAAAAACCCACTAATACTGTGAAATGAGTTTTAAATAAACTTCCGTGTTAACCTGAGCTCAAGTTAACATATACCATTCAGCTGGACTTGGGCTCAGTATTAGTAAATTCTGTATTTCTGAGATAAGGCAGGTGCATACTTTGGTAGGAAATATTTCTGCGATAAGATACAAGATTTACCCACCTCCCTACATTTAAAACCATCAAGAGCAATAAAAAAGTAGTGCCTGATGTTTGCCTTTTTCCACCACCCCCCCCCTTCTACATCAGTTTTGACCAAAGTCATTGTTAATTCATATATATCACTTTGAGCATGTATTTAATTTGGAAAATGGTTTTACACTGAGTGTTGCTTGTCTGCCTTTTACTTACCAAAGAATAATTATAATTCCTATAAGGAAGATACTGCAAAGATGAAGGTTCAGGGAGTTTCTTAGATAACATCTGTCTGCGAATGGACACACCTCGCTCCTGAGTCTCCATCAGGGTTTCAAGTTTGTATGCAGGAATATGCTTAGCGTTAACCAAGTTTATAACCTCAGCATCAGTAAGGAATTTTGCTCCTTTCTGGAAATGTAAAGGGTGGGGAGAGAAAGTACAGATTCTCTTGGTGAAAATCCAAATGAATGTTTCCAAACAAAAAAGGGTAACAACTTCACTTTTGGCATTATCACAGTACATCTAAAAGAACCAACTGCCAATGTCAGGTTTTATAGTAGGCCAGGATATGATCAAGAACTTTTTACTCAGACACCCACTTATACCTATAGACAATGAAGCTTCAATGACTTGGCATGTCATGAATAATGAAGCTGCTCCCTGCCACCACCGCTGCCCCAAATGACTGGAGAAGTGACTTATAAAAGGGTTTTGTTTTAGTTGTGACCCCTTGCCCAAGTTACAAAAGCCATATAATTTTCCGAAGAATGACGTTACAATCAATAGGATCATTTAAAAGCTGGAAAACGAACTGTAAGAATTTTTAAATCAGATGTTGCAGTAAAGGTTAAAAAATAAAGGAAGTTATTTCTCCGTACCTCTGCATTTCCAAGTATACAAACACATTCTTCAATGGACCGTGGTTCTTTAGGTAAATCAATTTCTTCCTCTCTTCCATTAAGAAATGAAGAGGTTTCCACAGGGTTGCAACGGCCAACTACAAATGTAGCCTTGGTTGATGACTCTGCTAATACAGGTTTTATGACTTCGGCTGCATAAAGACAATTAAAATGTACTTTGGTTTACAAAATTCTTAAGTTCCGATTTCAAATACAACATCTTAACACAGATTTCACTACTCGTTCAAAATATTCAGGAATAGGTTCAGACTTTAAAATGCTAAAAATTACCATTTCCATCTTTGGGAACTAAAGCTTCTTCTACTGTGTTACATTTCTGATTGTTTTTCAGAAGTCCAGATTGCTTCCTGCAACAATTCTCGGGGACCTTTTTCTGGACCATCACTGGAGATGTTATGGGATTCTTCAGCGAAAGCGTTGATTCAGTCTCCGCTTGCTCAAAGAAAATATATTTGACGGCAAGCAGAAGGGCTAATCCAAGAGTGATTACTTGTTCAATATCCATACTGGCCATTCTAGAACAGACAAATCAAAAAGTAAATACACAGTATATACAATTTATTGTTTATAACAGCATTCTGACATCCCTTTGCTTTAGAAAGGGAAGATTTTAATCATAATTTATACAGTTGCAGAAATTGCAGTCAAAAGACATTTTCTACTGGGACATTCAAGTATGCCAAGTGTTCTGTTTTCAGAAGTAGTATGGAACCACAAGTGCAACTTCAGTGGAACTGAAGAAGCAATAGTGACATGGCCTTAATGCTTTTTGCACTTGTGTGGGAATGGTCAGAAGCTCTGCATAAACAAGTACTCTACTGCAGTCAGAAAATCTATTTTCCAGTGTGCTCAGAAAGGTGTCAGTGCTAGTGGGAAAAGACAGTGTTCTGATGCATACAGGATAGCCGGCTCCCAATCATGTTCTTCATTACTTCAAGGAGACTGGACAAACGGCATAATATTGAAATACTTCTTCGGAAATGTCATCCCTGATTCCAAGAGATCCTATAGCGCTCAGATCTGCAAGTTTACAAGTGTTGTACCCTAGGACCATAGCTTGGCAGCACTGGAGAATACACCTGAATTAAGGAACATGCTTCTCTTTGGTGAAGTCACCTACCGAGAAAGGTAGAACTGCCATAATGAGACGTTAGGTTCGATTCTCTTTGGTGCATTTTCATCCAACCCCACCGAGTTTTCCACAGTACTGTTTTGAGCAGCCGGTTCTGCTATCCAACGACTGTGGGCGTGAACAAGAACCAAACCCAGTGACTGTATTAAAAACACAAAACAAATACTAATTTTTCAACTGTAACTAGGTATCTAACGTACTTAGATTAAACATTTTCTGTTTGTTTGGGGTTTGGGCATTTTTTTAGTTTGCTATGCCTCGAAAGTCTAAAGCTAAAGGCTGATTTTCCACACCTCTCATCAGCACCTTTTTTTTTGGCCTATTGTAACGCTCATAGCTTTGAGCCTGTCCCACCACATCTTTACTCTTGCTCAAGTAATAAGCAAAGGAAACTGAGGGGGGTACTGTAGAGGTAAGAGGTAGCTAATTGGTACACATGAAAAGCTGAGTGTTTGGCACAGAAATGGCATATGCAGGAAGACTGTAGGTGTAGAAACAGGGGATGTTATTAAAAATTACCACGGTAAATGAGACTAATGGGATGCAAAATACAAGTCTACGTAAAACAAAAAGCTTGATTCATTGCACCAGGACACAGCATTGATGGCATAACCATAGATGAAAAAAGAGCCACAAACCATAATCATTTTGACCCTCTGTGTTACAGGATTTGGTTTATTTTCTTCTTCTTCCAGAACACGAGCAAAATGGCTAAGCTGCCATATAGGGCGCCCTTCACGACTCTCTCGAGAAAGCTGCAAAAATAACAAAATTTAAAAATAGGCCCTATTTAGTACATATCGAAGAACCAACAAGTGAGCTTCAAGACTATTTTTATTTGATCATTAAGAAATTATCAACAAAAGAGTTAGCCTACAATCTAGTGTTTAGCCTATGTTAGACTTTAAATAGTGAAAAACCCCAGACAGCCAATAATACACAATAATACGTTTACTCAGCTTTAGATCAGAACTCAAACTATTGAGTGTGACTCATCTACAGTGGCATTAACAAGTTACTGTTATCACCTGAACCACCATAGCTCTTCTTGTGCCTTCCCTCTGTTCACTTCAAAAGGAAGACAAACACGCTGGCTTATAACTCTGGGAAGAAATGTATAGCCTACAAGCAGCACAGGGTCTGAATACTAAGCTTGATGTTGTCCTGAAGTTGTTCTTACCTCCAATACCAAGGACACACAAGCTGGAAAGAAGGTCATGAAGACAAAGTAGTTGGCAAGAACAGACATGCAGCCAAAGCAGCACATAATTTCAAGCTGTCGTACACCTACATAAAAAAAGAAGATATTTTTTACATTTGAATATGCAATGACCTTTCTATATACTTGAAGAAGTGTTGCAGCAGTAAGACAGAAACCATTAAACTGACACTGAAGATTGTAGAGGGAACTGTCTAGATTAATGAAAAACAAGCATCTTAAGCCCTAGTCACTGTGTATTAGCTTATTCTAAGCACAATATTTATGGTATGGTATTTACAGAAAACTTTTAAAGTGTAATCTAAATAAATAATTACAGTTCATCAAGATTTTAAAGCTTCACACTGAAAGCTTGAAACTCTTCCCTTATCTAAGCAAAGAACAATTAGCAGACATTATGTATTGAAATCCTTTCTGGAAGATGGCCAGTCAAGCATTCAGGCAGTAAGTAATACCCCACCTACTCTTTCACAGGCCTGGTATCCAGAAAAAGTCAGTTAGCCATGTCACACATGCATTACAGAACTGCCTTAGTAAAGATTGAAGAGCTAACAGTATAAATAATTTTAAAAAATCCACTCTATGCTATATGAAAATGAGGGGGTTTTTTCCTAGATGTAAACAAGAAAACAGCTGATTAATACACAATACCCCTAAAAGGTCCAAAACAATTTGAAAAGTGCTCTGAAAGATGCCTTTAAGGTATGCAAAACAGTTTAAAAAAAAAAAACCACAAAAAAACACCACACAGAAACAAATAAGCAAACAAAAACCCACTTTAGTCTTAACTATGGAACTTTGATTTATTTTACAAATAAATCAGTTATTTCACATGAAGATCCTTTACTTATTACATTTAACTGTTCCCTTTTTAAGGAAATACAACTGCTACTGCACACAGAACTGACGAAGATCAAAAAGGGGGGGGGGGGCGCGGGGGACCAGTAAGAGATTGGTTATTTTTAATTGAATTAGAGTAACTTTTCTCACGTGGACTAATTTTTAGAAATACTCAATTTTTGCAAGAATATGAAATAGATGTGCATGTACTGAAAGTTTAACTCATTTTTAAGAATGCCCAAGAGAAAAGTTTAGCAGCCACTTTAAGATGTTAACAGGCATGATAGAAGATCTTAGTTCAATGAAAGCAGCTGCACAGAAGTCCATTCCTACTGCACAATGCTCAAGGAAAGCTGTTATCTGTATTTCAAACTTCTCTTCAACATGTACATATTATTCGTATCTGCAGGAAATAGTAATATAGTCTAATTAGGAAGGTAAATAAATAGCTACATAAGTCACTCCACTCTCATGGGTTACATTGATTATTTGAAACTCTCAATATCCCAACGTCTTCAAATACTCTTTTTTAATGATTTAGACCCTTAGACTGTATTGCCCACCTGACATAGTACCAACACCGATCACAAGACACTCCACAAGTGCATCCAGTGTAAACGTAGGGCCTAAAATTGCCATTCCACGTGAAATATTTTCTCTTACTTCATCCTAAAAAGAAAAATGTCTGTACATTAACATAAAGACAAAAATAAAATTAAGGAAGTACACATAACATTAGTACATTATTAGTAAATTGAGTAGTATTATGGTGATAAGGCCTTACAAAACTTATACTGAAAATGAACTATTATGAGAGAATACATTCTTAAACTGCTTTATTTCCTCTAAGTTATTATACTTCGACAGTCTTTATTTACACAATTATTTAATTTTGATTAATTTCTCTCCCTTTTGCTCAGCAATATTCTAAGCTGCTACAACACTGATGAGCACAAACTCATTACAGTACATTCAGAAGAACAGGACTTCCACACTTTAAGAAATAAAATAGAAGCCACTTAATGTCACGGCATTTCAAAAGTTCTTGCAACCACATATCTGTACCCTAACTTTTATTATTTTATTATTTAACTCTCTAGACTAGCTGACAGAACAGACACTAAAGCTTTCCCCTGGTGGGAGAAAGGGATTTCCTCCAGAAGCCAGGCATGGCCAACTCTAGAGGGTCTGTTGCTGGTTTTTTTGGTGGTGGTGGTTTTGGGGGGAGCGGGAGAGAAGCTGCGAGGAAAACCTATTTGTGAAATACTTTCTTGAAAATTCCTTAAAAAAATCTGTATTCTCAATTATTGTAAAATAATACACAACACACTACAATAATATTACATATATAGAGAATGTGCATTATAGTCTAATATATATTAAAATTTAATAGACAATATTTTGTCACAATTAGCATGCTAAGTTACCATGTACGGTATTTTGTAGGTATAAACTGATTTCACTAAATAGAACTTTTATTTCAGAACTTAGAATATTAGGAACAAAACATTACAATGTACAACAAGCAAGATGTCCTACCAGCCCTTCCTGCTGGGCTAATTGCATTAGAGCATGAATGTTTCTGTCTACACACATGCTATGTTTGTTCTGCTAAGATTTTGTCTAGAAACATGCTTTTTTTCCAGTATCAGCATTTTAACATCAGACACCTCTCAATTTATAGGGCTCATGTACAGTATATAATCTGTTGATAACTGTTCTAGGGAAGACTTTGGTCTAGGAATCTAGCCTCCTTAACAGAGCTATCAGCATTGCTAGTTTGAAGTTCTGAACCTATAAAGTACTCATATGTACAATTAGCTCACATGATTATGCACATTAATTTTACAGAGTTATTATTCACTTGAACACTGATCTGGACTGAAGACAAGAGAACACAGAATCTGGATAAAATCTGATCCTTCTTATAATACATTATTCACCTGTATGTCTCCCTACCTGGATCATTCATAGAATCATAGAATTTTACTTGGAAGGGACCTTAAAGATCATCTAGTTGAACCCCCCTGCCATGGGATAATGTTCATCTTTGAACATTGAATTCAAAAGCTCTAGTGCAAGAAAAAAAAAAAAAACCAACTCAAAAAACCAAAAAACCAACCAACAAACCACCAACCCCCTGACCTGTGAGTTGGAACTGAGTGCAAATTTGGCTAATGCACTCGCTCTTGACAGATCAATCAGCAGCAGGAAAAATGGTAAAGCTTCACTGAAAAAAAAAAAAGAGTATGTTAAAATTCAAGGTTCATTGTGCAGGGGAAAAAAAAAAAAAAAAAAAAAAAAATCAAGCAAGAAATCCAGAATAACAATTCATTACTTACTTTAAACCTGTCAGTTCTTTATCCAAGAAGTGAATTACCACTGTACTAAAAACAAAACTTGAGAAGATTGTGAAGAGGCCAGCAATACCTTTAAAAAAAAAAAAAAAAGAAAATTGGAAATTTTTGTTTTATATATTTGGGGGGGGGGAAAAAAAAAAAAAAAAAAAAAAGAAAAACTGTAACTTTAGATCAATCCTGAAGCAAACAAATGACAATTCTCATCTCTCAGGTGCATTAACAGCAGATACAAACTGAAATAGATGCTATTTCTATACAGATACTTAAATCTAAAATTTGTACTGCAAAAGCCATAAATCTTCTCATTCATTACCAGCCAAAATGACAACCAGCTTAAACAGCTCTATATTCTTAAGTGTTTCACACAATAAACAATTATTTCAGGAATTAAATTTCCAATCCTACATAATATCACTTAAAAAAAATTGCACTGTCATGATGCAGAACATTTATACTGCTATGTAGTAAGTAATTAAAATAAACCTGTTCTGTACATAAGTACTAACATTCTAATATTTATTGCCAATTTATATTAAAAAAAAATGAAAATGCATGCAGCAAATACAAAATTCAGATACAGTACCTAAAATGTATTTTGACCCAAGCTGCCTTAGGTTCTGAAACTGGAAATATATATAAAGGATTGCAATACAGCGCGTGATTGTCAGGATGATGATGTCACTGCTCAGAACATCCTGTTTGAAATACAAAGCAATTTAGTTAGCTTTTACATTAAGTAGTAACTTGTTTTAAGTTTCAGTAATAAAAAAGTCCATTGTGAAGCTGCACTAAAAACAAAGTTTTAGAATAAATTATCACTGCTAGCCTGTCTTAAAAAATTAAAATATTGCAAACAATATATTAATATAAAATCCTTGTTCACTAGATACTGTGCAACTGAAAATTACATTTAGTGAAAACTTTCTGTAGCACATTACTGCTTGCATACAGCTTTAATATCCACAATAGGAAAAGAAGGCAATAAAGAAGTTTTCTGCATAGCTACTTTCTTCCCGATACATCACAACCTGATCTTATTCTACAGAAAACCCTGGATCTACTGATTAATAGTAAGTACTATAACAAATTTCAATCCTTACTTCCTCAAGTTTAGGGCACTCATAATTCCAGCCACAGATCTTATCATTCCCAGTGAACATCTTCATGGACATCATACAGATGGTAAGAGTCACTGTTCCCACAATGACTTCCCATGGATGAGAGGCTACAAAAAGGCCATGCATTCGAAAGAGTCTGGACAACATTTTCAAGCTTGTTTTTCTATACTTAGCAAACCTGCAAAAAAAGAGTATTTCATATAAGCAAGTATGACACTCTGGGGAAAAAAAGATAGAGCTTTATAAATTTCTGCGAGTCATCCCCCAGAAAAAGAAAATACAAACCCATTAATTAACAGATGAGTAAGGAAACTAACCTTCACCTTTTGACTTTCCATGTAAGCCACATTTATTTCTAATCTTTTGAAATACAATATGATCTGCTCCTGCCTTCTCAACCTTTTTTTTTTTTAAAAACAAAACAAAAAACACATCTCCCTTGTTTCTTCAAGATCTTACCAGTACATCTCCACCACTCTCATAACATCTCTTAGTATCCTCCTGTGACACAATTTTGATACCACTTTGACTCCAACTTCTTGGTTTTACCACCTGGGTACACTCACTAAATTCGGTTACTTCTTTCTATTTACTCTTCCTATCAAAAACATTAACTTTATTTTAACTACATAAATTACCAACTAACCATTGTTGGTAATGCCCAAATTCAACAGCAGGAACTGACATACTATCTTGCTCTGACTGTCTTCCCTAGTTTCTGCTCAATACTCTTCAGTGATTCAAGTTAATCACATTCCGAACTCAAGCACAAGTCCTTCTCACATGCAGTACTCTGTGACTGTTCTCTTGTACCCATAACTAATTCCCGGGTTACTATGCATTTCATCATGCTTTCAATGGCTAACAAACATTCGACAGAAACTCTCACACTCCTCTTTCACCTAAGAACATGGATGTTCAGTACATGCCTGTTACAAAGACTTGCATCCTAGTCTATTTGCTCTGTGCTGTACCTTCAGACAAGTTCATCACGGATGTTTGCTTATGTTTTATAGCATAGAAATGAAATGCCATAAAATTCTCTCTTAAATACGTTAGTACCGCGACCTTGCTTTTCTCATTACAAAAAATCAACAGCTTGTAAAACTCTGATGAATGTTAACTATGTAACTGTACCGTAAAGTTCAGAAGATGCTTAAATAGCAGCCTGGCTAACAGAGACTATCTGTAGTTCAGTATTTACATGTACAGACCTAGCACTATAAAGATTTCCATGGAGGATTGAGGGCTCTACACATTGTCACTTCAAAGTGGATATAAAAAATCCCTTCATGTTGCCTTAAAAAGTAACAATTCACCCATCAGGCTTCTGGGAAGACAGTCTTTCTAATATTATTTCTTTTGCTTGGACATCAAAAATGAAGCTGTCATTCAATGGAGAAAGTAACAGAGAGGGCAAATCTATCTGCTTAGTGTTCCTGAAGATACCAGAATCATCTTGGTTTCCTACCAATGCCAATCTCAATCATATAAACACCAACAGCACCAATCTATTTTTCTTTATCCTTCCACAATGAAGGTGTGGGAGGATTTTCATGGCTCATGGAACCAAATGGGGAAAATCACTGAGGAACCCCTTCCTTATGAACAAATATTTAATTTCCTGACAGAAAGCTTTATGAAAAAAAAAACCAAACACACACCACAAAAAACCACTCCTTTTAAAGTCAACATTATACTTTGTCTTCCCTGTGTAATACAATCTACCTACTGTTTTGTAAATTTATGTTCTTGCCAAACTGTTCCAAAGTGGTTTTATAGTTTTTCCTCAGCTGAATAGAAGGTATCTTTGAATCAGGAAAACTAAAATAAGATGTAGCCAGAGGAGTATCTCAGTGCCAAAGATTTTGAAACAACGTAAAAAGAAAAACCAGCATAGCAATATCCTATGAAAATACAGATAATTTTGAATACTACACTATTTCAGGAAAATCAGAATTAGTACTTACTACATGACTACATAGAGTCCTACCAGTCCTAAAACTAGTAATACAACTCCTAAATTCTGACAGTTGGAATTACTGTCTAGGCAATTATCAAATTGTTAGTAGAGCTAGAAAGATTTCAAAATCTTTCTTCGGGTATTATTTTTCAAATTTCTAAGCCAAACTACTAAGTGCAAAATGGCTTCACCTAAATCAATTAGCGAAAAAAGCATTCATTTGATTAGGAAAAGTAATTATCCATAATATCTGTTATTAGATAATGTTTTCTCATTAACTGCTATGAAATACAGGATGCCTTACTGGTGATCTTCATGTTTATTTAACCTGCCTGAAGTGCATGGCGTTTCTTTGCTATGCAGTTGACATTTCTAGAAATTATTGATGAAGATTTCATACACTGATTCTGCATTACTGAGTGGTGTAAAAAAAAAAAAATAAACTCAGTGCATATGATCAGGTCCTATTTCCAATTGTCTTTAAAATATTTGTGTAGATACATTAACTCACAGCTTGAAATTAGCAAGACAATGTTAAATACAAAGCTGAAGCTTACCATTAACATTATTTTATTAAATTTCAAAATGGTGGGTCAAAAGGGATGCTTTATAGATCCTATCAATCTCCTGCTTGCCTTTCTTTTCAATCAAGAATTTCCAGGACACTATAAAAAATAAGCAATCCATTCTGGGAATCAAGACAAAATACAAACAAAACACAACTGCAACCCCTTCAAAAACTTTAACCAGCGTGTAAAAGGCAAACTAGACTGGTCGTCTGTCATGCTTTAATCTGCCACGTAACTGCATGACTGTTTGCTTCAACACTTACGGTTTGTCACAGAGCTCTCACTAACCTCCGAGCAGCCATATATGCATGCAACGCCATCTATTACATCAGCACAGACTTCCCACCTCTCGCTGGCTGACTCGGCAACAGCTACAGCCTTGTACAGGAACCGAGTGGCAAAGACAGCAGCGCGACCACCTGTGCAGAGCTCACCTCAGAAGCGGATGACACCACACAGGCCCCGGCAAACCGCCCGGAGGCGTTGTTTGCTGTCAGAAAGGGACCCCCGCCTCTGGCAGGCCCATCACCGTAGCCCCTCAAGCCCCCTGCGGAAG